GGTGGGATCTAGTAAGTCGTCAGGTGTACCTGTAATTGCTGTCAGGCGAATCGGGAAGAAGAGTGAAGACGAAACTCGGGTTGCAAATTCGGGTTCGGAGCAGGACTTGGGCTTGCTCCGCCGGGTTGTCTCGGCCCATATTTGTTGGAAGGACTCCTCTTCCGCGGAGTGATATGGGATGGCGGGAAAGTACGCCCTGAGAAGGCGAAGAAGAAAATAATGAGGAAGAAGAAGAAAATAAATATACGGATTATGCTATGTTTGTACCCCACCCCACAGTTTTGCACTAACATAACATTTTGTGTTGGTGTAAAACTAATTTTTGTTAAACACACCAACATTTGTGTCCGTGTAAATTTTTATTAACACACCAACACTTGTGTCGGTGTAAACCATTGAAATGTTTGTGCAAACATGTGGTGTACAAATGGGATATATTTTTTGGTGGAAATGTAGCATGGAAATATACCGAGTAACTGATACTCCTAAAATATTTTATACTCGGTACTTTTTTGTTTGATAGAGATTTTGATTTAATTTTTAAATAGAAAATTTTTATTTATAATTTTATATTAATTTTTAAATAAAATTATTTTAAAAATCACATAATTTTATATGTTGAAAAAATTATATAAATGTTAAAATATAAATAAAAGCGTCTAAAAAGATTAGAAAAATTCAAATATTTATTTTGACACCTCCCAAGTTGTATCAAAATTTTCAACCGTGTTTTGATATCTAAAAAAAGTTTATAGTATTAAAAAAGTGTTGTTAAATTTATCTCCATTATGACTAAATTTACTCCATTCATGTTAGAATGAACAATATTTTCTTTAAAATTGGCTAATACCTACTCATAATATTCTTATATTTGTTTCTTTATATTTGTTTTTAAGAACAAAATTATCTATTTCACCATAAATTGAGTAAATTTAGGACATACGATATTTTTTTACAATGAAAAATATAAAAAATTCCTGAATTTTTTTATAACCAAATCTTTTTTTTTTGGTTTAGTCGATTTTTCATATACAGAGAGTAGAGAGGCAACCAATCCAATCAAGAAAGACAAGGCACACAGATGGGGAGCTCGAGCGCGATCATCCCCAATCCTAATCTCAACTCTCCCCGCCGCTTTATGACAACAAGCTCGATTTCCAGTTTCCCAATTCAAAGAACTGTTCCACAGTCTCACCAAACAAAGCGCGGGCGGGTCTTCTCAATCACAAACAGATTCGGAAGAATAGTTTGCTCCGCCGTCGAAGATGCGACGGAGAAACAGCGAGCTGCTTCAGGCCGGGGAAGCACCGGCGGGCTTGGCTCCGCGGTTGATGATAAGCTTTGTAAGTTGATTCAGCAGCCCTTGAATTATTGGGAAATTGGGGGTGTGGATGTGGCCTTAGATTGGAGCTAGAGCTAGAATTAGAGTAATCGTGTTGAGTTTTGAAGCTTAGTTTGTAGTTGTTTCCCTTGCTGTGTAAGTTTGTAGCATGTGTTTTGAGCAATAATGTTTCTGCTCACTCGAGAATGAGTATTCAATCACTCGAAAATGAGTATTCAATTACTCGAAAATGAGTATTCAATTACTCGACAATGAATATTCATGCAGATGTACATGAAATAGTGTACATCTGGATGCATGGTATAAGCACTCACTGTTTTGGGTTTAGTGATGTGCTTTTTTTATTTATTTTTTATTAATTTGTTTGTGTGGGAAGAACGATTGATTGTTATATGGAACTAAAGTCCATGATGATTCATTGTTATATGGACCCAAAGTTCACAATAGAAGCACTCTTACTCTATATATGCTTTTGTGTTGAGGCTAAAGTCTCTTGGAAACTATGTTTCTTGGAAACACACTCATAGACCCTACTATCTTGTGGTATTGAGGTGTTCTATTAGCTTTGTCTTTTGTTGTATTTTCATTTGTGTGTCCTTTAAAAAATGTTTGTGGTGGAAAAGAACTACTCCTAAAAAGTATGGTCTTGCCTAAATTCACAAAATTGGCATAGAACCTTTGTGCACAATGTGTTTTTGTGTTACATGAGCATAGTTGTATTACGTAAGCATTTTTTTGTTACATAAGCTAAATTCAATTTCAACTATGTTCTAAAAGTTGCTAGACGTTGATGTGTTTGTTTCTTACCAATGATTAGAGTTTGTATTCTACTGACCTTGGCCACTTTTCACTTCATTTATTAAAAGAGTGAATGGTTGAGCAAGAGTAATGTTGTTTTCTTATTCTAGTTTGCCACATGTTACATCGGTGACTCTGTGGGCACGTGCTTATATGGCCTTGTTTGAGTATCCCCCTGAAGTTTTTTTTCTCACGGGGATCTCTTGGAAATAGTCTCTCTGTTGTCAAGTAGGGGGTATACACAACCCTCCCCACACCCTATCTTCATGGGAAATTACTAGGTTTGTTGTTGGTTTTGTTGTAGATGTAATTTTTTACAACATTTAGAGCAATTTAAAGTTTCACTTCCTTTCTCTTTTGATTCTTTAAACAAAAGGCATTGTAAAATGCTCAAGGCATGAGGCATTGTAAAAGCTCTTGGCTGAACTTGTTGAATTATCTTAAAAAGCCACCTCTGACTACCAAACGGAGCCTTAACTGTTCCACTCATATTATTCTCCAGACACCTCGAATGGAAATAAACTTCAAAAGAAAGAGTCAGATGATGGGGAAGGAAGCGCTCTCTATGATTTTCTTTATCCCAGCAAAGAGCTTCTGCCAGACGATAAAGAAATGACCATTTTCGATCATCTAGAGGAGTTGCGTCAAAGGATATTTGTATCTGTGCTGGCTGTTGGTGCTGCAATGGTGGGATGTTTTAGCATCTCAAAGGAACTTATATTGTTCCTTGAAGCTCCTGTTAGTGCACAAGGCGTCCGGTTTTTACAACTAGGCCCGGGCGAGTTTTTCTTCACTACTCTCAAGGTCAGTCTATGGTTTACTATGGTACTTCTCTGCATTCATTTCTTATCCCCGCATGCTAAGGCTTGCCTTTTTGGGCAGCTTTTTGTTGGAAAAGAGCTTTTTTGTGCAATAATTAGTCTAACAACTATTAACAGAGGGTGTTTGGAATGAATTTTTAAATAAAAAATAAATCTGGGGTTTTATTGTGGATAGAAGCAGTTTGAACTGTTTGGGAATGTCTGATACTCCTATTTTCACCTGTCTTAAGAGACCAAATAACAGAAACTGAGAAGCACATCAAAGATTCTTTTAGATTTTGTTTCCACAATAATCACTTTCAATAAAATTTATCACACACCCTCAAAGTGTCACGTGAGTAGCTATTTAGAAAGAGCTTTTTTTGGGATAAAAAAGTTGGATTTAAGAAAACTTGGTAAGCCAGCTTTTCCAAGAGAGTTGTTTCATTCTACAACTTTTTACCTCAAACAAGTGACAAAATACGATGATTTGGTGCAGGTGTCAGGATATTGTGGCCTTCTCCTAGGAAGCCCTGTCCTTCTCTACGAAATCATAGCTTTTGTTCTTCCAGGTTTGACGAAGGCAGAAAGAAGATTCCTTGCACCCATTGTGCTAGGATCATCTGTGCTTTTCTATGCTGGGATTGTTTTCTCCTATTACGTTCTCACTCCCGCGGCACTAAACTTCTTTGTCAATTATGCTCAAGGGGCAGTGGAATCATTTTGGTCCATTGATCAATACTTTGAATTCGTGCTCGTCCTCATGTTCAGCACCGGGCTGTCTTTCCAGGTTGGTTTCCATTTTCACAGAGTATGAATGTGAATGTGATAAAAAAGAAATCACCCTAAATAGGAGCAAAACATAGAGAAAACACCAAAATAGAACTTCCATGTTTTTATCCCCAAAATAGGAGTTTGCACATGGTAATGTGGGAGTGTATATGGACATTTCACAATACTTTTTGGTAATGTATATAGTCATGATTGGTACTCTAAATGCATTTTAACTCCTATTTCGGGAATAAAAACATAAAACTTCTATTTTGGTATATTTTCAATGCTTTACTCCTAGTTTAGTCTTTTTTTTTCCGGATCAAAAGTCATCCGAGGAAAGTACTTACAAGAACACTTGTAGCATTCCAAACAGGCTCATTGTATAATGTGTGCGCGCATGTTTTGTTTGTTTTCCTTTTTTCGAAAATGCCCAACCAAAAACCAGCTTGACACCGCGGATTGAAATGGAAGTGTATTGACTGGACATGTTTTTGTTTAAATGCGCAGGTTCCAGTTGTACAACTACTTCTTGGGCAAACCGGTCTAGTTTCAGGCGATCAAATGTTGTCTGTTTGGAGGTACGTTGTTGTGGGGGCCGTGGTTGCAGCAGCTGTGCTCACACCATCCACGGACCCACTCACCCAAGTTCTTCTCGCGGGCCCACTTTTGGGACTTTACTTGGGCGGAGTGTGGGTGGTGAAGCTCTCCGGGAAATAGATGGGATGGATCAAAGGAGAAGATGAAGAAGAACATGTTTCTAATATATGAGCCAATTTTTTGTACATTAAAAAGGTGTCCACACCGAGTTTTCATCACTCGTTTTTTTGCACTTCACAATATGTGGCGTAGACAATACTTATCGTTGTGTGCTTTAGACAAGTTTAGCTGTGAAATGCTAAAAACGGAATGGTGTAGACTTCGTGTACACCAAGAGTGAGACATAGTATGTATATATATATATATAGCACTGTTTGATGTATTCATGACTTTACTAATGATCGAACCCTTATAAAAATACATTTAGAGTGAGAAGGTCTACAGAAATTGGCGTGAATCTTAAGTCCACTAAAGAAGAACTCTGTTATGTATGATTGATTGATTTGTTAGAGTTTTTTTATATAATGTTTTCAATTAAAATTAAAAATAGTCTCAATTTATTGCTCCATATGTGTGTTTCCCTTCAATTCTCGATACATTAAACGTAACGTATCATGAAATATTGTTGCAAATCTCACATTTTTGGTAGTCTTAAAAAGTGAATATTATTTTGAGACAATTAAAATACATAAAATGAGACATAAGCAGTATCATTCAACCAATATCATTAGTAACATAAGCCGCAATGGCACATTATCATAATCAAGAACCATAATGCCCCAAAATGTTACTTGACTCCAAAGATGACATCAAGGTTGACACCACCAGAAGCAATCAAGATCAATCAGTCATTGTTTGTGAAAAGGATCATGCTAGGGTGCCTCCAAATGGTTGCTACCAGGGGTGTACACATGCTTTGCACAGATGACATAGATGATAATCATCTGTGGCAAGCATGAGTGCATACTGGTAGCAATCATTTGGGAGCACCCTACCATTTTTCTTGTGAGAAATCATTGTCTATGAAACAATGATGATGTCCACCTTGGTGTCATCCGTGGCATGATTGGGTATATCTCAATGCTCCCAACTATAGATAATACATTAAAAAGGAACCAAGACTCTTCACTTTGTTGCTTTCTAAACCTCAAGTGCCAAATTAACCTAAATTAGTCATCACTCACAGCAAGATTTTCCATTTTCTGCATGATTGAATCTGCAGAGCCCAATTCAGATGCCAAATGTTCCATTGAAGTTTTCAAACCATCGCATGCGTTCTTATAATCTTCCGTTGATCCCTTAAGATTTTCCAACTCCATCATCATTTCATTCGTGTTGCTCGAAATAATTTTCAGCGATCCCCTAATGGAAGATATTTCTTGTGGAGGATAAAGGGAAGCCCCGAGTTCATCGACTTGCAGACCGATTTCTTGGCATAACTTCAATATTCTCTCTAAAGAACCTATGAAGGCATCAGATGAGTTTCCGGAAGCTTCCAGCTTGACTAATCCCGTGATGGAGCGAATAAGTTCCTTAATAACCACCAGTGTTTGGGAGACCACGTCTGTAGTTAATTGGGCAACTTTCATTTCTTCAGGTGACAGGTCATTCCCAAGATCCCCCATATCATCTGTATCATCAAGATTGCTTTCTGTTTCTGCAGAAACCTCGTCATCCACCTCTGAATCTGGAGATGATGATTTGAGTTCCTTCATTTCTCGAAGAACATCCTTCATTGAAACGGCAGACTGTGTAAGCGCCCGACCTATTGCTGTGATGTTTGTGGATGGTGTCTTCTTAAGGGCAGAACAAGCTTCCCACACCGTGCCAACTAACTGCGGGATTGAATGTTTTTGTGCTTTATTGCGAGGTCCTGCACATTTATCGGACGAAATAGACGTTCATGTCAAGAAAAAACCACTCCATGGTTATATGAAAATTTTATGCGATAGTGTTATGAGCATCAACAACAACAATAAACCCAGTAAAATCCCACAATAAATGCAGACTTCACTCCTACTAGATAATGTTATAAGCATCTTTGGGGTATGGCTGACAACCTATGGGATCAAATTTAATCCTTGCAAAAATTCATGATAGATTTGTTTGAAGTTATTTGGATGTGCTTATTAAGAATGCAATACCAACAACAACAAAACCTAGTACTAATCCCACTCTGTTGGGGTGTGAACTGTGGAGGGTAAAAAGTATGCATCCTTACCCTTGTGAAAAACAAAGATGTTTCCATTAGACTATTGATGCATTTACTGCCCAAAACTTCATAGAAAGTATGGAGAAAATGAAGATTAACGTGTCATTTTGATTCAGTCAATTATTGACCCAAAGCTAGAACAGTGTCAACAATGACTGATTTAGTTCCATTGGCAATGAACATGATTATATTTATTGTGAACGATACCCTAGTAACCCAAGTATATAATGAGAATATATGCATTCCAAATTAAATACAACAACCAAGCATGCCATAACCCAATTATAAAACAGAACCTAATACATGCACCTTACCATGGTTAAAATGCCATTTTGAAACCTAATGTAACAGAGAGACAGGGGGGTACCATGTGTGGCAATTGTATCCTTCATCAAGACAAAACTGCAATCAACCACTTGCTTTATGGATGCATGAATGCAAGCAGAAAGGGTAGGTCCAGCCCCCACTGTACTTCCATGTGAGAGCAAGAGCAGCCCCTGCAGCGCATTGAAAAATGCAAACATGTTGTCCTCGAGCACTGCAACTTCTTGAGTTTCTCCAGTCCAAAGCATTCCAACTGAATGATAAGAAAAAACAAAATAGAAAATAGACTATTTCAGAGTCTCACGACAAAATGAATATACAGGATGAAATTATTAAGCTCCTCTTATAGCCTATTTAAAAACATCCTTGCATTGAAATATTAAATGTGCACCCATTAATATATATAAGTTTGAGTAACTAATTATGAAGTTTTGAGTTTATAAAATCCTGGGTTAGACTAACTAAAGTATTGGTATTCAATGTTCCAGGCCCCATTTGGTTCTCTCAATATTTGGTATAAGTGTGGGGAATCCAAACCAACACCTCTTGTTTGGTTACAAGAATTGAATCTTGAAATGCTTTTCGGCAAACTCAATCACTCTCAAACCTTTGAACACTCAGATTCCAAATCATTATATGTCATTCCTCTGTCTCTTGATGGACTGTGCTTGAAACATTAGAATACCATTTTCAAAACCAACTCAGAAAGATGACTTCGACTATCATACCAAAACCCACACTTCTCGCCTCATTAACTATTCCAATCCATTACCTAAATCTTTTACCAAAAGTCCACTAGCGGGATTCGACCCATGTGCATATTGGCTTGTTAGAGTAGTGTGACACCAACCCAATTATGCAATGTATTAATAGAACACTACTCATAAATCTTGAGTCATAAATCCCTCGCCCCAAAAGTTCTATGCTTTGTGGTAGATTGGCAGACATTCAAATCAGGGCTGGCATCCCCTCCCCTTCCCCCAAATCCCCCACTAAGGTTCAAAATCCCGCTCCAGAGTTCCAGGCTCAAACATAGAAGCGTCACAATAAAAAAATAAAATAAAATCAACAAACTTGATAACAATAGGGACACCACAAGTTCCACAAAACATGAAATGATCCCTGGAAACCAGTTCATTTGCTACCAAACTCGCAATTTAAACGAATCAAGAGACTCCCAAGTACATAGCAAACATTCAGAAATAAACACTAGAGTTGAAATCATTACCGTTGGTGGCTTGCTTGGAAAGCTGTTCACCCATTTGGACAACATCTTTCCAGCCCGTCCTTTGCGCAGAGGGCGCAGGGGATTGATCCAATACCTGCACATACACAGCCACCACCGCGCCGTTTAATCCCGCTCGCCGGGAAGAAATCGGGAACAGGAAAGTAAAACAGGGAGCAATAGTCGGTTGCAAACCTGAAGCGTCTCGTGGATGGTGTTGAGATGCTCGTTCAACAGTCTGTTCAATCTCTCCCGCTCAGCTCTCTTCATCTCTCTCTCCCTCTGCGTTGAACTGTGAACTAGAGCGGTCGACGACACGGGAAGCGGCCATCTTCTTCCATGGTTTTTGAAAACCCTAGTTCGTATTTTAATCCTTTCCCACACAGATTCATCAAGAGATTCGTTTTCCTTAATAAATGGCCTTAGGATAACAGTCCAGTCTGAACCCAGTGAGGTTTCAGACTTATTGTCCTTTGCTTCTCTTAGGTCATTTATTGATATTTATCAATTAATCAGATATTTGAAGAAGCAAAGGAAGTGGTAGTGAATTTCTTCTTTTTTTCTTAAAAATGTATCCACTTTTTTGACATAAATTGAATGAGCATTAATCATTAATTAAATATAAATCATATTGTATATTACGTTATCTGTCTTAAAACTATTTTTATTTAATTTTTTATATTCTCCAATGCAATACTTCGATCATTAATATATTTATTTGTATATAAGTATATTATTACCAAAATAAAATATTTCAAAATTATATTGCAAAATAAATTTATTGATACTAAATCTATATAAAATTCAATGTATTTTTTTATAATATGCGATCAAAGTTGAAAATTTTGACAATATAGGCCAAACTAGGAAGTTAATTTTAGAACATATAGAATAGTATACAAATACGAGTAATATTTATTAAATTTATTTTATTGTATCAATATGTAACATAAATTTAATGCCTCGTATAATTAATTATCAAAATTTGTCCAGCTTATATTGAAAAAGTTAATTATAAAACCTACTCTCCACGCACTACAAAGAAGTTTTTGTGCATAGGATTTCAAATGTTAGGGGTTCCTTTCTTTAATACGTTACCAATGACTAAGTTTACTTTTGTAACACTTTAATTAGAACAATTTGTAAAACTTAAATTTGCACGTCTTGATGATACTTTTTTTACAATCACTATTTTTTCATATGAAAACATTTCTTAAAAGACATAAATTTTAAATTTGACAAAAAAAAATTCAGAGTGAACATACGAAAGTACCAAAATACCCATGTCATAAAATGACAAGAGTGAGTCTATCGCAATAATGAACACCTCTAGGTGGGTGAACAGCCTCCTCGCATCCCCGGAATTGCATGTTGGGGTTTCAAGACCTTCATTGTTACTCATTTGATAAATTACGAGTAATATATTAATGTCAGTTCTAGACTCTTATAACTCTTGATTTATTTTTTAAACATATACTCCGTACATAGTTATTTTTATTTTAACTTCCACATCTGTTTTCAATGGACCAATCAAACATGAACAAATATTATTCCTCCACCCTTTCTCTCTTATGTTCTTCATCCCTCTAAGCTCCTTCAAAACCTTTTTTTCTTAGAAGGGTAGAATAAATATATAGTGCTGAACAAGTAGGTGTAACGGTTAAATTATATGGCGACAAACTCAATGGAATAAAACGTACAGGTACTTCACGTTACACATGATCGTTCATCATTGCTATTGCCAGAAATGGAACCCAAACATTATCAATTTTGCACCCTTTCTTTTCCATCCAAGCTACGCCCCAGACAAAGGCGGAGTATAATGAAGCATAAAGCTTGTTACAACTTACAAGTGAGCGGTCTCATTAAATTGGGCATCTTAGGCACGAGTTTTGACCTATTCCGATGCATCATTAGGAAATACTTGGCACAAAACTATAAACCATGATGGGGGATAAAAGACCCATCTTTATACTTGTAATAGAATGTGAGTTCTTCAGAATTTTGAAATAAAAATTCAGAAATCTTTAGCACACTAGTTTCTGCTCATGTGAAAATAGAAGAACAATAATAAGATTCGCATGAGAAGTAAGCAGTTGTGATTGAAAGTGAATCAACCACAGGAACAGAATAGTTCAAATGAAATTGGGGCAAACTGGTCCTTTGGACAGCCCGAGTCTCACTTCCATGCCGTGATGCATGTTAGCTGGGCGTGCGCTCTCTGATTCCTTGGGATCTGCCAAAATCCAGCAAGAAACATATTATATATCAACCATATACAGAGACCCCACTAAAAAGGCCTCAAACACATGCATTGACAAATTCACTAATCNGAATCAACCACAGGAACAGAATAGTTCAAATGAAATTGGGGCAAACTGGTCCTTTGGACAGCCCGAGTCTCACTTCCATGCCGTGATGCATGTTAGCTGGGCGTGCGCTCTCTGATTCTTTGGGATCTGCAAAAATCCAGCAAGAAACATATTATATATCAACCATATATAGAGTAATTCACTAATCGCAAAGGGGTGGGGGGTGAAGGTAGAGGGGGGCACTAATTGAAATAAAGTAATACTCCGTACAATAAAATGCATAACTCATACTGTGAAATCCCGGAGTATAGTAGTACTCCCTTACTGCATGTGTATATGACTATATGCAGTAACTAATATTACTATTATAAACCTACGCTTTTTACTATTTACGGAGTACTTCTTACTGGTAGAAAGGCCAAAGATGAAGCAAAGAAATAATGGCTTCGTTTTGAAAAAAAACATTCGTGATTAACGTTAGTATATAGGATAGTTTTTTATATTAACACTGAAAATGTTAATGCTAAAAGCTACTATTAGATATTATTTTAAAAATGCTAAAGTTAATGCCAAACGGAGCCAATATAAATGTTTAGGCCCGATAGCTTTTAAGAATTTTCATAAAATCATGACAAAAGTCTAAGGCTTAAGCCTTGCACCTCATACACCCAGATACACATCATCCACCAAGGACGAAGCATCAAAATGCCAACATGAAGCTTAAATCCGCCGCCTTCAAGCATTGCTGCCTTGAGGCCGACCATCTCAAATGGCTTTGAAAACTAGGGTTGTAGCTTATTGAGGTCAAGGTCGTGGTTATAACAGGATTGAGAAAGACCTAACCAGCACAAAAACTGGAATCATTGAAAAGAAAACTGAATTTCATTCATAAGACTCCGTACCATTTAAGTAGTCTTCAAAACCAAAGTCTTCCAGACCTCCTGTCATTGCTTCTAACCCTAACATGGAAGATGGTATTGCTCCAATAGGTCTCTGAAACCTAGAAGCAATCAAGATGAAATTTGAAATCTGTGTATATCAGAGTAATTCAGCAATGAAAATAGAGTGAAATGACATAATGTTTCAAACATAGATCACAATGATAGCCAAAAATCATCCTAGGTGTGTCCAGGGAATTTGCATTTGGAAAACATAAAGAAAGCCTCCTCACTACCTGTTTTGAATGAGGGAAAAAATCACACAATTTCTAAATAGAAAGTGACAAACACCGTTACCAACAGAAGAAGCATAGAAGAAACATGGATCTGGAGGTAGAAAAAAATCAGCAACTTAAACCCATATGAATCGTGTTCATTGCAAAAGGAGCTAAAATAGTCATAATTAACAATGTTTTAGTTTCGGGTACATAATGGACTAAATCAAAATGACACATCAAACTTCCATTACTTCTTATTTTCAATGATGTTTTGGGTAGCAAATGCAGCAATGCATCAAGGGTCTAACGGAACATTCTCTCAGTACTTTACAAGAGTAAGACCGCGTACATCTTGACCCCATGATCCCAAGGAATTTGGGATTATACTGGGCTGTTGTTGTTGTTGTACATCTATATGAATAAACATGCAAAAGAGGATAATGAATTGTATAATATTACCCTCACATTAACATTCAAATCCATAGTCTCCTGCTATAAATGAATGATGAAATGTGTTGCGTACACTTGGTAGTCCAAGTTTTATTGAGCTATTTTCCACTTTAATGTATTTTTCTAAGCAACCTTAATATTTTATACTGGAAATATTATTGGATCAAAATAGAATAAACTTATGCAGCACACCTGTCCTTAAATATGTATTTAATTTGTTTTTCTATATACAACTCTATACGTACAGCCATACATCAGCATCCAATTTGGCATTCAATAAATAATTCCGATCACTTAGCACTCAATACGAGTCTATGAATCACAAACCATACAACCCTAAGAGTATTGATTACTGAAATTGAAAAGAATGCGCAATTTCAAACCAACCAGAATAAAGTCCAAACTAAACAGGATATGCTTAAAGGCATCCACTTATTCAACAATAGCATTCTGCTCATACTCCCAATCAGCACCTAATTAGAATACCCAACGATATTTTATGTTTATAAAAAGCTCAAACCTAGCAAATTAGTACCTCTTTTCTTTTCTAGAGTACTTGTCAAGTTTGATTTTTTTGGGTCAAAGCACACGAACTTTGATACTCCGTAATAGATTAGATAAAAGTTGCATTCCATATTAGTACAAAAATGATATCATTAGATTTATCTTGTAGAAAACGTTTGCAAAAATATGCAGCAATGTAATTCTTATGTAATTAGTGAATGAAGTGCAACTCAAAAAAGTAGAACAATCTTCTATGGGATGGAGGGAGTCATTAGTAAATGCTGTGGAAGTATGGAACTCAGGGGAAAGTGATCAGAAATCAGATCAAAGATTCATTGTCCTCCATTTCATACCTGGAGAGAATTTGGCGGTCCATCTCCATCCTCGTGGGCAAAGCAAAGCCGTAAGTGTTGGCAAGGACCGTTCTCTTCATCCTCTCCTGACTCGCCTTATTCTGCTCAAAGCACACATAAACATAACGAATCAGCGGGAAGAAATCATGAAAGAACAGATGGGAGATGAGAAGTAGTAGAAGAAGAAGAGAATACCTCTTCATAGGCGGATTCGAGAGGATGAGAGCCGACGATGTCGCTCTTGACGCCGTGGAGTCCGAATCGGAGCGCGTCGCTTCTCACTCCGCCGATTTCGTGAGGAATCGTCTTCGATGCATCCATCTTTCTGCAAATCTTCTTCTTCTTCAGTAGGTTTTGATGAAGATCGATCGATTTTCGTTGGAATTAGAAGTTGAAAGCTTCGTCCGCACGAAAGAAAAGCGAAAATAGTACATGGGCCCAAACCCAACGTTGAACCATTGGGCTGATGGGAATCGGCCCAAGTTGTAATATAGGACTTACAGAGTAATTCTGTTGAACTGCAAGGTGTTTGAAATATAAAGAATATTAATTTCCCTAACTTGCTTTGAAAACTTATCTCATATGTTTATTGATTTTGCCTTCGAACATTTTTTTTCTCAAAAATATTTGAGCTTATTCTTTATTAAATTGTTTTTACAGAGTATTTTATTGATGGCAAATTATTATGGTTACTTGGGTTCATACTCTTTTTATGGATTTTAGTGTGTATATATATATATATATATATATATATATATATATATATATATATATATATACTTCGTACCACATTAGAGTTAAGTTCTTTATCATAATGAAAAAGACCCACCCGTAGATTTATAAAAAATGTGAGAAAAACCACATTTCACATGTGAAACTTTGAGCAAGTCTAACGGGAGTCTCAACATGTCTTCTCTTTTCTTTGTGGCGTCCCGTTTTATTTTTACTCGTACTTTGCGGGAAGTAAATATGTACTTAATTAAAAAAAATATGGTGTATGAATTTTATAAAATAATATTTTGAAAATATTTTATAAGATGAATTTAATAAAATTACTTTTGTATCAATATCTAATATAATTATTATTTAATTAATGCTTAAGATTTATTAATTTTGACTGGGAAATGTCAAAAGTGAACAAATATTCTACAGGGGGATATTATTTAATATTATCCCATACAAAACATTTCAAAGGAGAAAAAGATTTATGATGATGTATTTAAACAATTCTTCCTATGTTATACAAAAATGTTTAGTGTTTGACTTGGCAAGAAGATTAAAAAACACAGGGTTAAAGTTGTACGAATTAAAAATAATGCAAATGAGAGAAGGAATTTGAACCCCAAAAACTTTTTAAAAATAAAAAAGGAACCCCTTTGTTGTGTGAACCAAAAAGGGAATATGCAATTATATGTGAAGTTATATGCATAAATATTCTTTGTGGTCTTTCATAGATAGGTAAATAGTCTCTATATTTTTAAAAATTATAAAATAGTACCTATGGTAAAAAAGTTGATACATAAATACATAATTAATCCTTTAAGTAAAACATGTTGTGAAGCATGCAACCAAAAACAGCTAATCTAATGAATTTGTCATCACCTATATGGTTAAAGGCAAGGAATGCTCTTTTTCCCATTCCTATATTGCACAAAATTACCTTAAAATAAAATTACTTGAAAAAATAAAATAATATCAAGCTCACATAGAAAATTGTACTACCATCAAAGAGTATCATTGGAGAAGACATGAAGAAATCATTGTGAAAGTTAAACCAAAAGATGCAGTATATTGTATTACAGTTTTAACTTACACATCACAACTAAAATTTCAAATTAACTTTTTTTATTGTTACATGATTCACATCTTTGAAAAACATGCACGTGTTGGGCAGATTTCACAAATTTTCTAATAGAAACTGGTTATGCAATGATTCTTTTGGAAACTGGTTTTGAAAACTACTTCTGAAAGAAAGATCATATGGACCATTTATACATATAACTCTTTTATGTGGGATGCAAGGAATATTACATTTCATCCATGATGGATTAAACAATTGGTGCATCCATTATTATTATTATTATTATTATTATTATTATTACTATTATTATTATTATTAGTATTAGTATTAGTATTATTATTATTATTATTAATATTATTATTATTATTATTATTATTATTATTATTATGACATTCTTGCGTGATCCATTTAACAAAATGCACAAAGCAAATCAGCAAAAGTTTTTTTTCTTTCAATTTTCTAAAGTTTAATGCATACAATGATATTTTGTCCCACACCCCCCACCTACATAGAAACCACAAGGGCATACACCCGCACAAAGACTGTCATTGAGTTCTCATTCACTTGAGAATGTCTTTACTCAAGAACTCTCCTTCCTGCCTTGGCTGCCTGCAATACAAAAATTAGCCCTCAAAACAAATATTACTGTCTATATAAAAAAAACTATGTGTATATGTAGAGCACGACAACATAAAAGTGACAAGAATAAATAAATAAATAAAGGATGGGTTCGGGAGAAGGTAGAGTAATGTGTATTTATAATAATACACGTTGTTTTAGGGTTTGTTTGGTGAATGCATGAGAATTGATATGATATAAGTTTTGAAAGCTAAAATGATAGTGTTTGGAGAGATTTAAAATGATGTTTGTTAGTGACATTCTGGTGTGGCCAACGATAGTCGGTTAGTGGTTGAAGCCTTTAGGAGGATTGTGATACCGGGGCCCACAAAAGAGTTCGGATATCTAGAGATATCAGAATTCAGATCTCTTACGCTCACCAAACAAGCCCTAAGCTCCCAAAAGAATTGCAAGAATGTGATTTGTGTACCTGGTTATTCCAATTAGTGCAACTTGTGATTATAGAGAGCAAAAATGATTGCAGAGAGGCACCACAGAGGACTCCAATCCAAAGACCTTTCCCTCTGAAGTTAAACCAGAAAGCCAGTGATGCAGCAATGGGAATTCCACAGAGATAGAAGGAAGCAAGATTGACATATATGCTCCTATGTGCTGCCACCCGCATCCCCTAGCAACACCAACCTATATATACCGTCAAATCAGTACATCTAATAATTCGCGGTGTGACCCTAAGGCAACCATGGATTTTATTAAGCAACACCTGAACTTTTACAACATTTTTTTTCCATTTAATATTCCCTTTGTTTTGAGCTAGTAGTCTCTTGGAAATAGTATCTCTACTTTCCAAGTAGGGGTATTGTTTGTGTACACTCACTATGTTGCAATCACTCTATACGAACTTCCTGGGATTGTTGTTGTACCGCCTTTATCCCATTTGATGTGTTATAATCATGAAAAAACAAGACAAGTTTGGGAAGATATATTTCATTCCCAAACACATTCCGACAAGCAAAGAGCATCGCGCTTACTATGACAGCCTCCAACACAGCCATAAGCATCATGGTAAAGACAAACAACCGAGCACCCTGTGGGTTTCCCGCTCCTAGCTCATTTGAAACTCTAGTGCTGAAAATAAAATAATAGTCATACACTTTGGGGCATGAACTATTGGTCATGTTCAAATACATTCCGGACTGAATCCGAGCTTGGGATACCTTACTGCACCAGAAAGCCCATATGGAATCGCATAAAGTGTGCTCACGGTGTTCAGGCTGTGCCAAACAAAACCATTAGTGATGATGATGAGTTTTATACACAAATTAGCAACTTCCATGAACTATTGGTGAAATTGAAGCCGAACGTACCATACAGATAGGTAATTAGCAACTTCCATGGAATTAGCAACTTCCATGAACGTACAAAAAGTGACTAGAGTCCAGTTCTTTTGAGACCGGCGATGAGCCAGTGTCATAATATAGCACCACCAGTCTGTTTGCCAAACAACGAAACATAGGGATATGACTTTCATTACACTTGTTTTCCTTTCCCTATTGATTTAGCCGATTTAAACTTTTCCTAAAAGTTGGAGATGCACTTGTAAAAATACAAGTTCTAGTTTTTTTAAAACAAAAATGGATATCCAATTTATAGCTTTGCATTATGGTAACATACTAAGACAAAGGAACATAATCGGAAGAGTAGCTGAATGGCATGTTCAGACTCCACAAAGACATGCTTTATAATGTGGGATGCATTAACTAACATGTTCTGCAATAAGATTGGCTTGTTGGGCACACTTAGGGCATATTCCACTGAGCTTTAATTATATTTCAATTATCCAGACTCCACAAAAGTTCAGTGTGTTCTTAAGAAAACAACATTTAAAATACTAAATGCCTTCACGTCATTAAGCTCTCTGTTCACGCATCATGAAGAATAGGAAGACAAAGTAGAATAGATTTGAGATTTTCTCACTCTTTTTTCGTGATGCATCGTGAACTTCAAAATTTAATATATGGAGTATTTAGGATGATTAAAATAGGTTTGGATTTGAATTATGTTTGAGTATATCCCATATCAACATTAACAAAAATTCAAACATTCATTTGAAGCATTCAATTCAATCAAGAGCAAGATAGAATCCAGTTCCAAAACATATCCGATCATTAGAACTTAGCCAGATGGTACACAAAACAAACAAACAATTAAACATCAATACAAATGGAAATCAACTAACTAATATGTAATCAACATTCAATTTCAAATTTGTGAGATCCTTAGAACATAAACAAAAAGTGGTTGAATCAGACTAGCTAAACACAGTGTAATCAAAGAGCAACGAAAGCCAACAATTTAAAGTAATAGAAAAAAGGTTCCTTTTGCCACTCTAACCTTGGATTTACCCGTTAATTCGGCGGTGGATCATTGTCGGGCGCCGGTGATATTATCGTCCTCCTCCTTCATCCCGATTGGATTCACTGTGCATTCATCCATCATGCATAGACGAAAAAGAAGAAGAAGTTTGAGAGGGGGAGGAAGAAGCTACAGCCTGTGGATTGGTTGGTTTTATGTGTTACTCTGTAAAATTAGATGGAACCTATTTATGTATTGGGTTGGGCTCTAATTTAACAAGTGTGTGATGACATCATCTAAGTGTGAAAAAATAATTCGCCGCACATAGCTATATGTGTTGTAAAATAAGTGGGACAAAAAACATATTTTTCTTGTAGTGATAGTAGGTATGTCGAGCAGAAACAGGTACAAAAGCACATATAAAAAAGAAGAATTGATGGAGTATTATATTGCTGAAACATGATACATGTTATGGAAGTTGTATTGTGAAAAGAATTGATAGAATTTGGAATGGGTATGGACAACTCGATTAGTTAGTTTAACTCTAGAGCTTATATACCGATTATTTTACTCTTAGATTTCCGATGTGGGATGTACTCTTACACTCCCCCTCAAGTGGACAACCGGGCCATTTTGAATCTAACCGGTTGACCACTTGCAAATGAACTCCCATTCCCTTGACTTTTTTTTTTGAGCGCCAACACCTAAATGACCACGAGCCGCTGGGTATGGACTTCCAGACGAGCAATCGTGTTAAACAGGCCACAGGCCGTTGGGTACAACCTCCATACGGACAACTGGGCTAAAGACTAACGGGCCGCTAGGAATGAACGTCTAGACGGACACCTTGACAAACGAGGTGGGCCAAAACCTGCTCTGATACCATGATAGAATTTGGAATGGGTATGGACAACTCGATTGGACAATAAGACACTTGGGTTGAACCACATTAAAAGATTGAATCCAATCGATTAGTTAGTTTAACTCTAGAGCTTATATACCGATTATTTTACTCTTAGATTTCCGATGTGGGATGTACTCTTACAAGAATGCATATATGCTAGCTATATCGGAGTATCTATTTATCTATCCATGCCTCTGGATCTATTTGTATGTATGTACATAATGAGACTTTTTTTTGGTATGCATGCCCTCGATCTGCAACATACAGCAAGCATACCCAAGCTTATTGTTGTAAAGTAGCTACTAGCTAGCTCTCTGTTTTTTCTTTTTTTGAAAAGAGAAAAAAAAGAGAACAAAAAGACTCCCTACTAGTATACGTCGACAAACAATGATCAAGAATCAGGTGCTAGCAAGCATTGTTGTTAAGTCGACAAGTCGAGTCGAGTCGGTCACGGGGAGACTAGTGGACTAGTCGACCTACTAGTCGTAGACTAGTCGACAAATCACAATTAGTATTGAAACGTTTAACATTATATATATCTTCATTCACTACTAATAACTATATATATTTATATGACAAAATATCATTACCAAAGCAAAATTATGTTTAATAATAGCACATAAAGTCACATACCAAAGACTCTTTTGTTTGGCAAAGAGTACTTAAGAAACAAATATCCAACAAGGATAATAAACACAAAAAGTAGTCAAAGAACATACTAATATCTAACTTCTCATTTTGAGTTATCAAATATCATCATCCAACGTTATGTCACAATTGATTTGTTCGTGGGATAATGTGCATCCCACAAGATTTTTGTTCATATTTGGCCAAAACCCATATTTCCATATGGCATCATTAGAGCCGGTTTTTCGTTTGGGGTTCTTCAATGGATCCTCATAATCACTAACGTTATTCTCTCCCATTTGTTTTGAAATAAGTATAATTTTTTCTATAAGAGATAATACATATTAAATTAACTTCTTAAGTCAAAATACTAAAATAACAACACAAACATTGTTGATTGAAATCATCAAAAAATAAAAAAAAAACTGAATAAAAATAACCAAAAAATGTTAATTGAAATCAGAAAACAACAGTGATAATGAATATAATATACTGAATAAATTTAAAGTGTAAATTTAAAAAATAAAGAATATAATATACTTGTTTAATAGTTTAATGAACCAAATTAAAGAAAATTAACCTAAATTTGGAAATTAAGTGATAACGAATTATAAATATAAAATTTACCTAGGGAGAGACGCTACTCGGTTGACCTGAATCGTGCGATGAAGAGGAATGCCAGGTTGGTCTCTTCTTCTCCATCCAATCAAGATGCGATGAAGAGGAAGATAAAAAATGCGAATCCAGATCTGCTTCAAATCTTCAATCGATGAGGAAGGTTAGACGTCGGTCGTGCGAGAGAATCATTATTGGATTAGGGAATTTATCCGGTAATATTTAATACAGCTTATTTATAGAAATTCGGATCAGTCATGGGTCGGGTTGGGCTCTTCTTCTCCGACTAGTTGCTACTAAACGAAGACTAGGCCTCGCCTTTCTCGGCCGGACGATTAGGCCACCCCAGTCGCTAGGCGCCCAGTTTTCCCCCTCCCCCAAACCGCCTGGACGACTTAACACCAATGCTAGCAAGCAGTGATTAGCCAACTAGGATAAAGCGCGCATGAATGCAGCCTTTTTTAATTTGGGGGTTGTCTCGGTCTCAAGGTGACCAGAGTGAGAAAGACATCGTCGAAAAGTTCAGCGGAGGCTTCCGGGTCGGCACGGATGACGGGAAGAAAAGGGTGGGTGATTTGATGAATCATGAGGCGAGCAGGATACTCCAAGTCCGGGTACCGCCTGTCCATGGTCTTTGCGAGGACCTTTAAGACATAGAGGAGATGGTTGGGGGATCGGAAGAGGCTGTTGGATTGGGAGTTAGAGTGGATGTTGTATGTTGTTTGGGTTGAACCATGAGGTGGAGAGAGTTTTGAGTGCGTCTAGGGCATGATGGAGGTGGGTGGTTTTGGGTAATTCACCCAGGAAAATATCTGTGAGAATCGGCAGCATCTCTGCACATGTTTCTTTCGCTGCCGCCGCCTCCTTGCCGTCGTCACATTTGACCACTCTTTTGCCGGCGTAGATAAGGAAATTGAATAGAATGGCTTGGCCGGAAGGCCAGACTGCTTGCAGCATCTACACAACTCTGACCCCCACTTCCGACGCATTAACAAGCCGCCAATTCAAAAGTTTGGAGAGCAGCACCAGTGTGGCTTCACAGAGCGGCGACTCTAACAGTGCCATGGATGAGGATGAGGATACGATTAGAGTTGCACACAAGTTTAGTGGTTGCCCGCAGTAGTCTCCCTCTGCATCACCGTAGAACAACTCCTTCTTGCTTTCCAACACATATGTGAGAATGTCTCTCACGGTCTCCGGGGCGGCAGCGGCCGCAGCGGCGGGGGAGGCGGGGGAAGAGGAGGGCAGCAGGGCCAATTTCAGAAAGACATGCCCTGCGCCGGCAGATCGACCACATTGAAATTTCTACACAGAATCTTCTTCCAGGCATCATCATCATCACTGCACGGTTGCAAGCAAGCATTTTTATACAACCACGCACTATTCTATGATTATATATATATATATATATATATATATAATTCATTTAAGTTTCATTAATATACATACCATCTGTATGCAGAAAATCCAGAAAAGCTAGTCTCTAACCAGTAGAGGATGACGACGTCTCCCACCGGAGTCCCACTCCTTGGTGGAAAGAGAATGTCCTTCTTGAAAAAGTGTGGGCCGCGTCGGGGGCGGTGGCCACTGCGGCGGAGGAGTTGAGAATTTCATAAGAGGCGGAAAGAATTCCATCAGCGGCGGCAGTGGCCGAAATTGGCGTCGAAGGGATTTGGAGGCGGAAGCTTTATCGGTGGCGCCTTTTCAAAGACTAGCTTTTCTGGATTTTCAGCATACAGATATATAATTAATTCATTTAAGTTTCATTAATATACATACCATCTGTATGCTGAAAATCCAGAAAAGCTAGTCTTTGAAAAGGCGCCACCGATAAAGCTTCCGCCTCCAAATCCCTCCGACGCCAATTTAGGCCACTCCCGCCGCTGATGGAATTCTTTCCGCCTCTTATGAAATTCTCAACTCCTCCGCCGTAGTGCCCACCGCCCCCGACGCGGCCCGCACTTTTTCAAGAAGGACATTCTCTTTCCACCAAGGAGTGGGACTCTGGTGGGAGACGTCGTCATCGTCTACTGGTTAGAGACTAGCTTTTCTGAATTTTCTGTAAACAGATGGTATGTATATTAATGAAACTTAAATGAATTTTATATATATATATATATATATATATATATATATATATATATATATATATATATATATATATATATATATATATATATATATATATCATGGAATAGTGCGTGGTTGTATAAAAATGCTTGCTTGCAACCGTGCAGTGATGACTGATGATGATGATGATACCTGGAAGAAGATCGTGTGTGGAAATTTCAATGTGGTCGATCTGCCGGCGCAGGATCATGTCCTTTTGAAATTGGCCCTGTTGCCCTCCTCTTCCCCAGCCTCCACCGCCGTTGCGGCCGCTGCCACCCTGGAGACCGTGGGAGAAATTCTCACATATGAGTTGGAAAGCAAGAAGGAGTTGTTCTACGGTGATGCAGAGGGAGACTACCGCGGGCAACCACTAAACTTGTGTGCAACTCTAATCGTGTCCTCATCCTCATCCATGGCCCTATTGGAGTCTCCGCTCTCCACACTGGTGATGCTCTCCAAACTTTTGAATTGGCGGTTTGTTAATGAGTCGGAAGTGGGGGTCAGAGTTGTGTAGATGCTCCAAGCCCGGCCAAGCCCTTCTATTCAATTTCCTCATCTACGCCGGCAAAAGAGTGGTCAAATGCGACGATGGCAAGGAGGCGGCGGCAGCGAAGGAAACATGTGCAGAGATGCTGCCGATTCTCACAGATATTTTCCTGGGTGAATTACCCAAAACCACCCACCTCCATCATGCCCTAGACGCACTCAAAACTCTCTCCACCTCATGGTTCAACCCAAACAACATACAACATCCACTCTAACTCCCAATCCAACAGCCTCTTCCGATCCCCCAACCATCTCCTCTATGTCTTAAAGGTCCTCGCAAAGACCATGGACAGGCGGTACCCGGACTTGGAGTATCCTGCTCGCCTCATGATTCATCAAATCACCCACCCTTTTCTTCCCGTCATCCGTGCCGACCCGGAAGCCTCCGCTGAACTTTTCGACGACGTCTTTCTCACTCTGGTCACCTTGAGACCGAGACAACCCCCAAATTAAAAAAGACTGTCTGCATGCGGACTTGAACTATCCTACTCGCCTTATTCTACTCGAAATGACACACAAACATAACGATCCTCTTCATAGGCGGATTCGAGAGGATGAGAGCCGACGATGTCGCTCTTGACGCCGTGGAGTCCGAAGTTGGAGCGCGTCGCTTCTCACTCCGCCGATTTCATGAGGAATCGTCGCATCCTTCTCTCTGCAAATCTTCTTTCTAGGTCTTGAACTCTTGATGTCGATTTTCGTGGGAATTAGAAAAGGTAAAACTGTAAATGGGCCCAGACCCAAGAGTGTGAACTATTATAAGACTTGCAGAGCAATATTGTTGAACTGCAAGGTGTTTGAAATATAAAGAATACGGAGTACTATTTTCCCTAAATAAGCTTTGAAAACTTATCTCATATGTTTATTGATTCTGCCTTCGAACCTTTTTTTCTTAAAAAAATTGAGTTTATTCTTTATTTAATTGTTTTGACAGAGTATTTTATTGATGGAAAATTATTATGGTTATTTGGCTTCATACTCTTTTTATGGATTTTAGTATATAAATACTACGTATCATAAAAGATTTAAGTTCTTTACAATAATAAAAAAGATTCACTTTTAAATTTATAAAAAATATAAGAAGATCCGCAGTTCACATGTCTTCTCTTTCTTATGTGGCGTCTCGTTTTATTTTTACTCGTACTTTGCAGGGGAGTAAATGTATGCCTAATTAAAAAATATATGGTATATTAATTTTATAAAATAATATTTTGAAAATATTTTATTTGATAAATTTAATAAAATTACTCTTATATCAATATCTAATATAATTATTATTTAACTAATGCTTAAGGTTTATTTATTTTCATTGGGAAATGTCAAAAATTAAACAAATACTCTATAGCGGAGATAATATTTAATATTGTCCCATACAATACATTTCAAAGGAGAAAAAGATTTATGATGGATGTATTTAAACAATTCTTCCTATGTTTTACAAAAATGTTTAATGTTTGATTTGGCAGGAAGATTAAAAAATGCGTGGTAAATGTTTTACGAATTAAAAATAATGCAAAAGAGAGAAAAGGAATATGAACCCAAAAAACTTTTTAAAAATAAAAAAAGTGGAACCCCTTTGTTGTATGAACCAAAAAGGGAATATGTAATTATATGTGAAGTTATATGTATAATAAATGTTCTCTGTAATCTTTCATAGATAGATAAATAGTCTTTATACTTTTAAAAATTATAAAATAGTCACTATGGTAAAAAATTGATACATAATTAGTCCTTTAAGTAAAACATGAAGCTAGTAAATCACATGCGTACTTTGTGAAGCATGCAACCAAAAAGAGTTAATCTAATGAATTTGTGAATTTGTCATCGTATATATGGTTAAAAACAATGAATGATCTTTTTTTCATTCTTATATTGCACAAAATTACCCTAGAATAAAATTACTTGAAAAAATAAAATAATATCATCAAGCTCACATAGAAAATTGTACTACGATTAAAGAGTATCATTGAAGAAGGCTTGAAGAACTCATTGTGAATGTTACACATCACAAAATGAAATTTCAAATTTACTTTCTTATCGTTACATGATTCACATCTCTGAATAATATGCATGTGGTGTGCACATTTCACGAATTCTCTAATACAAAGTTGTTATGCAATGATTCTTTGCGCACAAGGATTGTTTTGAAAGTTTGAAAACTACTTAAAAAAGAAAGATCATATGGATCATTTATACATATAACTCTCTTATGTGGGATGCAAGGAATATTACATTTCATCCATGATGGATTAAACAATTGGTGCATCCTTTTTTTTTATTTTTTTGATATTCTTGCGTGATCCATTTAACAAAATGCACAAAACAAATGAGCAAAAGTTTTTTTTTTCTTTAAATTTTCTAAAGTTTAATGCATACAATGATATTTTATCCCACACCCCCCACCTACATAGAAACCACAAGGGCATACACCCCCACAACGACTGTCGTTGAGTTCTCATTCACTTGAGAATGCTTTTACTCAATAACTCTCATTCCTGCCTTGGCGGCTACAATACAAATTATGTTAAATACTTAATCTTTTTTGTCTATAGTATTAAAAATCTAGGAGAAATATAATATCTTTATTTAGGGAAAAATATTGTATTGACAAACTTTCAGAATCGACAAAATATTTGTTCAATCCCATGCATAGCACGGGTCAAAATACCAGTGAACCGAAAAGAGAATATGTAATTATATGTGAAGTTATATGCATAAATGTTCTCTATAGTCTTTCATAGATAGATAAATAGTCTTTATACTTTTAAAAATCATAAAATAATCACCATGGTAAAATATTGATACATGATTAGTCCTTGTAAAACATGAAGCTTGTAAAACACATGCGTACTCTGTGAAGCATGCAACCAAAAAGAGCTAATCTAATGAATTTGTCATCATCTATATGGTTTAAGGCAAGGAATGTTCTTTTTCTCATTCTTATATTGCACAAAATTACCTTAGAATAAAATTACTTTAAAAAAATAATGTCAAGCTTACATAGAAAATTGTACTACCATCCAAGAATATCATTGCAGAAGACATGAAGAAATCATTGTGAAAGTTAAACCAACTGATGAAGTATATTGTATTACATTGTTAACTTACACATCACAACTAAAATTTCAAATTAATTTTTTTATTGTTACATGATTCACATCTTTGAACAATATGCACGTGTTGTGCACATTTCACGAATTTTCTAATAGAAACTGGTTATGCAATGATTCTTTTGGCACAAGCATTGCTTTGAAAGTTTGAAAACTACTTATGAAAGAAATATCATATGGACCATTTATACATATAACTCTTTTATGTGGGATGCAAGGAATATTACATTTCATCCATGATGGATTAAACAATTGGTGCATCCATTATTATTATTATTATTATTATTATTATTACTATTATTATTATTATTATTATTATTTTGATATTCTTGTGTGATCCATTTAACAAAATGCACAAAACAAAACAGCAAAAGTTTTTTTTCTTTCAATTTTCTAAAGTTTAATGCATACAATGATATTTTGTCCCACACCCTCCACCTACATAGAAACCACAAGGGCATACACCCCCCTCAAAGACTGTCATTGAGTTCTCATTCACTTGAGAATGTTTTTACTCAAGAACTCTCATTCCTACCTTGGCTGCCTGCAATACAAAAATTAGCCCTCAAAATAAATATTACTCTGTCTAAAAAAACTATGTATATATGTAGAGCATGACAACATAAAAGTGACAAGAATAAATAAACAAATAAATAAATAAAGGATGGGTTCGAGAGAAGGTAGAGTAATGAGTATTTGTAATCGTACACGTTGATTTCGGGTTTGTTTGGTGAACACATGAGAAATGATATAATATAAGTTCTGAAAGCTAAAATGATAGTGTTTGGAGAGATTTAAAATGATGTTTGTTAGTGACGTTTTGGTGTGGCCAACGATAGTGGGTTAGTGGTTGAAGCCTTGAAGGAGATATCAAAACCTCAAATCTCCCAAAACTAGGAGATATATAAAAACACCAGCATTTTGGAGGGTTGTGATGCCGAGACCCACAAATGCATTTCCGGGAGGTATCAAAACACTCCATTTAGGAGGATTGTGATACCGAGACAAACAAAAGAGATCGGATATCCAGAGATATCAGAATTCAGATCTCTTATGCTCACCAAACAAGCCCTAAGCTCCCAAAAAAATTGCAAGAATGTGATTTGTGTACCTGGTTACTCCAATTAGTGCAACTAGTGATTATAGAGAGCAAAAATGATTGCATAGAGGCACCACAGAGGACTCCAATCCAAAGACCCTTCCCTCTGAAGTGAAACCAGAAAGCCAGTGATGCAGCAATGGGAATTCCACAGAGATAGAAGGAAGCAAGATTGACATATGCTCCTATGTGCTGCCACCCGCATCCCCTAGCAACACCTATATATATACCGTCAAATCAGTACATCTAATAATTCACGGTGTGACCCTAACGCAAGCATGGATTTTATTAAGCATAGGCACACAACGTTTTATTTTTTCATCTCAAAAATGAATTTGGTAAAAAACAGAAAAGCTGTGTGGCTTGAATGACACTATGGAAAAACTTTGACATCACATTTGTCAAGAGATGCATTCAGTTTACAACACCTGAACTTTTACAACATTTTTTCCATTTAACATTCCCTTTGTTTTGAGCTAGTAGTTGAAAACAGGATCTCTAGTTTCAAAGTAGGGGTATTGTTTGTGTACACTCACTATGTCACAACCACTCTGTGATTTTATTGGATTGTTGTTGTTGTTGTACCCCCTTTGTCCCATTGATGTGTTTTAATCGTGAAAAAACAGGACAAGATTGGAGAGATGTATTTCACTCAATTTATGAGCGTAGTAAATTTACTACTCCTGTCCCAATAATAAGGTTTTTCTTTAAAATTCAAAGGGCCAAATTATATTTTGTTTCTTAACACATTTTCATTGATCGAGCCATAAAATAAAATAGTCAAAAATCACCACTTGTTTAGTAAAGCTTCTGATGTAGTTTTTAAATATTTAATTTTTATTTTTAAATTCTGCACCAAATTTCAAATATATTGAATTGAGAATAATTTCAACCAAACATCATAAATATGAACAAGAACCTTATTTTGGGACAGAGGGCTTATAAACAATTATTTGTGGACCATGAAACATTGAAATGGTACCTGAAATGGTCCCTTGCAGGCTATCCGTGATGACAGATAGGCAAAGGAGAGGGGTCATAGTCGCAACATAGGACACCACTTCCATCTCATTGCTAAAAACATACCCAAACATATTCCGACAAGCAAAGAGCATCGCGCTTACTATGACAGCCTCCAACACAGCCATAAGCATCACGGTAAAGACAGACAACCGAGCGCCCTGTGGGTTTCCCGCTCCTAGCTCATTCGAAACTCTAGTGCTGAAAATAAAATAATAGTCATACACTTTGGGGCATGAACTATTGGTCATGTTCAAATACATTCCGGACTGAATCCGAGCTCGGGATACCTTACTGCACCAGAAAGCCCATATGGAATCGCATAAAGTGTGCTCACGGTGTTCAGGCTGTGCCAAACAAAACCATTAGTGATGATGATGAGTTTTATACACAAATTAGCAACTTCCATGAACTATTGGTGAAATTGAAGCCGAACGTACCATACAGATAGAACTGAGGTTTCTAGCTGTGGATTCGGTAGTAGACCAGACAATAACACAATTAGCTCAAATGACCACCATTCAAGACTACAAAAAATAAATAAGAACAAAACTTTTCATGAATAATCTGCAGAAGTGACTAGAGTCCAGTTCTTTTGAGACCATGAGCCAGTGTCATAATATAGCACCACCAGTCTGTTTGAGGCTCCTACAGTGCTCCTTCAAACACAAAGTGATTCCCACATCCCCTGCCTCTTAAGCCCTCCCTCCCTCGGCGGGAGACTATCCATGTTAAATTATTGTCTCCCACATAGGGGGTGGGGGGTTGAAAAGGGTAGGAATCACTTTGGCGTTGAACAGAGTAGAGTAGGACCTTCGAATGGACCCAGTGTCATATTATGACACCAAAGTTGGGTGTCAAAAAAACCCCAACAAAGTCAATAGTTGTTTGTAAAGTTCGTTTAGGTTGTGCTTCTTGTGCATTTAAACTTGCAAAAAGCACAAAGTTCATGGCTCAAAAAAACCATATAAAAGATAAAAGGCTCAAAAGATTGGTTTTGAAGAGTTAAGGTGCTCAATGTGATACTTCAGAAACTGCAAGGGTCCATAATGGTGCGGCCTTGAGGATTACCAAATCATGATAGCAGATGGAATGGCATATCTGAAAAACTCCTTCACTCCATGAAAGATTTCCCAAGAAACAGGCGAGCGTGTTTTTGCACACTTAGTGGAGAACTTCATGAACAGGGAAAGGATCAACACATTTCCCCACATAGACAGGCCAATAGAAATGGCAGCCCCAATATTGTTTAGGCCGCACTTAAAAACCAACACCCAACACAAAGGCACGTGGAAGCACAATGTAACAAATGAGCTTATAAGCATTGGATAAACCATACTTTGGGCCTGAAAGAATCGTATGAGAGGTTGAAGGGCTGAATAAGCAAATATGGACGGGACGAGCCACTTTAGGAAGGTTCCGGCTTCATGGGATATAAGAGGATCTTGGCCTACGAAGACTAGAATTTTTCCCATATATGTCCATAGGATTGCGAGAGGGATCGAAATGACAGCGAGACAGAAAATGGCAGTGTATGTTTGTGTTCCAAGTTTGTGGTACTGTTTGGCTCCGTATGCCTGCCCGCTAAGTGTTTCTAGAGCAGATGCCATTCCCAACTGTAGAAAAAAAAGTTATGTTAAGCATACATACACGAAACCACTATTTGTGCAATATCTATTTACACTACTAATATATGTAATATCACTCTTTTGAAGGATTAACATGTAATATATCTATTTCCCTACCCAAACATAAACAAGCCTAATGTGTTCCAACTCAAGTGTGGGGTCTCAGCCAAAATGTAGGCAGACCACAGACCTAAACTATACCTCATGGATCCCACTAAATAAGATAACCATTTGAAATAAAAAATATATGCATCATTCAGAGAGAGAGAACAATTGTATTGATTATGTATATTCAGATGCATGTATAGCTAACACAGACAACTACGTAAAAAAAATGCATCATACATGATATTGGTTTTGTTTGGGAATAGTGTTAGCATTCCTGATAGTGTTTTAATGATCTGTATTAGCATTGAAAAAGCTAACGTTAAAAGCTACCGTTGCATAGCATTTTCAAAATGTTAAAGCGAATCATTGAAGCTAATGCCAAACAATGACATTATAATGTGGGATGCCTTGACATGTTTTGCAAGAAGTTTGGCTTGTTGGGCACACTTAGAGCATGTCCTTCTCATCTTTAATTTCCAGTTCTCAAGACTCCTGTATTCATACTCTAGTTTGAAGACTCCAAAGTCTAATTTTTACTTGTAATTACTAATGCATCCAGACTTCAGAAAAGTCTAGTGTGGTCGTAAGAAACAGCATTTAAAAGACTAACTACCGGAGAATGAGCAACCTTCATGAAGAATTTGAATGAAAAAATCAAATTTAAATAAAATGTGAACTCACCATGAAACTGAAGCCAGTGACACCAGCAAGAGAGACGGCTATGGAGGTGCTGGACAGATAAAGCTCGCCCAAATGCCCGACCATCATATTAGACACCACCAGCAATAGATTCATTGATAAAGTCATCGCCACCATTGGAGCCGCCAAGTGCCCTAATCTCTTCGCCTCCGGCCAAACCAGCCCCCATCGGATCCCGCCGCCGCCGTCCTCTCCACCCTCCTTCGACGGCAGCAACTCCTCATCCATATTTCCTGGAGTTTGACCAGGGAGGAATACACGAACTTTCCGTCAGAAAATCGGAATGGAGATTTGATGTTTGATGAATGCGATCCCCCGCTAATGGAAGGGCGGAGAAGATGGGACAATTGAGATTATGATCGTCTTCTGAGTTTATTTCATGTCTTGTGGATAGGGATATATCAGGAGCAGATACCATACAAAATACATCTGGGCTGGTGTACCTACTGCAAATTCTTATTTTAATTTGAGATAGTCTTCGTTTCAGAAGTAATATAGTGTTCATTTTACAATTTTTCACGCACTCCTTAGTGATAATTATAATACTCCCTAATAGGTATTCATTTACACTGTTTATTCTAAGTTTGTTCAACGCAATGTTTCTTATGAAACAATGTAATGTAATAAATTACTTAAGGACCATGCTACACTTACACCAAAAAATATACCCCATTTGTACACCACAGGTTTGCACAAACATTTCGATGGTTTACACCGACACAAGTGTTGGTGCGTTAATAAAAATTCACACGGACACAAATGTTGGTGCGTTTAACAAAAATTAGTTTTACACGAACACAAAGTGTTGGTGCAAAATTGCGGGGTACAAATTGGGGTACAAAACTTGGGGTATACATAGCATAATCCTTTACTTAAATATGATTATTTCCATCATCTCCGATGGAGCCAAAATTTCACCATTTTTTGGCTTTGGGATGTGATGGAATAAATCAAAATGGATCTCTAAACTGTCTGCGCTTCTTTAATTAATGAAGTAGCAGTTAGTCAAGCAATGCAACTTTCGACGTTGAGCCGGGGGTCTCTTTGGAAACAGTCTCTCTACATTCGAGTAGGGGCAAGGTCTGCGTACACACACCCTCCCAGACCCTACTCTTGTGGGATTTAACTGAGTTGTTGTTGTTGTTGTTACTTAAATATGACTAAAACATAATGACTTTCTCAAAATATGATCATATGTTTTTATTTCCCAGTGTAGGACCATTGGTCATTATCTATTAGTCATTATTCAACTAAATGTCAAACATCACTAAGACATTATTCTTCTCATTAGCCATTATTAAGTCTTATTTGGAAATAAAAAAAATTAAGTCCTACATTAGGAAATGACTTATGTTTTAGTCATATTTAGTGCAAATTTCACATGTTTATTCTCATACAACGTGGTGTTTATTCTGAAGCAACGTGTTTATTCCGTTGCATTGTCGTTTGAAGTTTGCTCAGCAACAATGGCGTCACCATTGTTTCCGTTCATCATTTTGTTGGTCTGAATTTAGCGAATCTGTGCTCGACACCGCTGCACGCTTCTCTTTGCTGCACACCACACCCGGGGTTCTTTGCCACATTTCCACACTCGATGATGCTGCTAGCTGCTTCTCTTCGTGATTGTCCCTCTACATCACTTGTGTCTTTTACCGTTTCAAAGGCCGACTGTACTCGGGTATGATCACTTACATAATGTAGATTGCCATATATTAGAGACATTCAATTATAGATGGTGCAAAGAATAAGCATTAGGATTATAGGCCGAGGATCCACTTGCAATGAGTAGGGGGCATTTGCCCCCAACTAAATTTTTTGTGATAAGGTTAAAAATATTATTTTTCTAAAAAAAATTATGTATATATGTCCCCAACAAAAAATTAATATGTCCCATTTAATTAAGTCAAATTTAATTTTTTTGTTTAATTTTTTCAGTAAAGAGTATTTTATTGTATGCAATTACTTGTTTATAAAATAAAATTTCACCTTACCAATTAAAAAATATATTACACTTAATAAATATTTGAAATAAAATTTATTTTGTTGTCATTTCAATTAGTCTATAAAAAAACTCGAGGGCGCTGCCCCCGAACTTCCGATCAATGCTACTCCCATCTACTTCGTTTTCTGGATCCGCCACTGAGAATAAGAGTTAAATTGTGCTAAGCTTGTTTGTAAATATTAGAGTTATCTTGATTACAAGGGTTCTAACAACAAAAAAGATATTTCAATTTTAATTTGCATAAGTTGTGTAATAAAAGAGTACTCTAACAAGTTTTTAAAATACCAAAATGTATCAAGGATCAAAATAGAAAGTTATCTTCTCCTATTAAATGTTTTTGTCACAATATTGTATTTTCATATTAGTACAAAAATTATTTTAATAGATTTATCATATACTTCGTAATTCGTAAAAACATTTAAATTTATTTGTATTGTGTTCATATGTAATACAAAGTACGAAGTGTTTTGTATAAATTCTTTAAATAATTTAATTTTGTGATTAGAAAACAAATCAAATTCAATGAATATTGTGAAGTGTCATCATCATTATCCATTTAGTATAATACTCTTCTGGTGTCTAATTTATTAGAATTGTTTTCAAGTGGTTATAAAATTCCCATAGATTTCTACATATTTTTATATTTTTTATGAACTGATAAATAGATATTTTTCTTATTACAATTTACAAAAAGTCTAATTTTTAATAATATCAATGCATTGAGGTCTAAAGCATCAACATTAAGGGGTGTTTGTTTTTTCTGCAGGAAAAGGTCTGCGATCTGCGGACCACTACTGTAGACATCTGCATGAGAAGTGGTGGACCGAAGGTCTGCGGTCTGCAAGAAGAAGATTGTTTGTTTTTTAATGTCTGTAAACTGCTATATAAATTAATGATGGTAGTGTACGGTGGTGGTGTATGGACGATTGTGGTGGTGGTGGACGTTGATGACGGTGGTGGTGGACGGTGGTGGTGGCGGTGGTGGTGGACGACGATGGTGATGGACAGTGACGGTGATGGTGGACGGTGGTAGTGGTGGACGGTGGCGGTGAACGGTTGTGGTGGTGAAGAGAGTAGAAAAAAGGAGAAGATGTTAGAAGACATTGGTTAATGTCTTCTCTAAGAAGATGTCAGAAAGACCTTTTTGAGAGAAATGTCTTCCAAAAAACAAACAATCTGCAGAGTCCATCATCTGCGCGCGTCTGCACGGCACAGACAAAAGACGCCAGAAGGTCTTCTGACAGAAAAACAAACACCCATAAGACTCCATAAGAATTTGTCAATTTTTTATTAACTTTTTTTTTTTACTATTTTAAACTTCTAATAAATTTTTATTTGTGTTTTCAAATTCACATATCACTTGATGAACTAATTGGGACGGAATATTTGGATATTTTTCCCACCCAATTTATGGTTTACCCCGTTTGGCGCTGCCCCGGTCCGTTTGGAAAATAGACCAAGCCAAAAGCGTCCCAAGTTTTTCGCAAAATGGGGATGCCAAACGCGGCCTTCTCCCTGCTCGATCCAGATAAAAACTCAGAGTCTTGTGCTCTTCTCTCCTTCACACGAACCCTAGCACACTCATTTGATTCTCCACTGAGTGTTTCCACCAGATCCTAAGCTCATCAACAATGGCGTCTCGGAGGCTTCTGGCCTCGGTTCTCCGATCTGCCGCCAGTCGCGGCGGCTCGTTTTCCAGATCCGTCATCGGGAACTCCGGTCCCCGGCTGAGGCCTTCGTCTCCTGCATCCCCCGTTGGTTTTCTCCTGAATCGGGCCGTTCGTTACGCTACCTCCGCTGCGGCCCCGGCTGAGAAGCCTGCGGCGAAGCCGCCTTCTGGAAATGAGCCGACGGGGAAGATCACGGATGAGTTCACCGGGAAGGGAGCGATCGGAAGCGTCTGCCAGGTGATTGGAGCTGTCGTAGATGTCAGATTCGACGAGGGCCTGCCTCCGATCCTCACGGCTCTCGAGGTTCTCGACAACCAAATCCGGCTCGTGCTGGAGGTGGCGCAGCACTTGGGTGAGAACGTGGTTAGGACCATTGCTATGGATGGTACTGAAGGGCTTGTCCGTGGCCAACGCGTTCTCAACACCGGTTCTCCTATCACAGTGAGTTATCTGATGACGCTCATTCCCTTTCTCATTTCCAAAGGTTGTTGCTTTATTTTCTAGTTCTTACTTCTTTTTCGCATACTGGCTTTACAACGTGATGCTTTTGAATGTTCAAATCTTTTTAGATCTTGAATCGGGAAATCATTGATCTATTCATAGATCGCACATTTCCCAGTCATTTTATATAACTGAGGTAGTCACTTTAACATTTGTGCTAATTAACCCGATTTACGGGTAAACTGGGCCTCTAGTCAAAATACACATTGTAAAGAAATGGAATGCTAACATTCTATATGCTGCTACATATTTGGAATTAATGCTGTGAATGAAAAAAAACTTCTTTATTTGATAATTGTTTCTGGTTGATTCTAATTGTTCTTGCAATTGTAGGTTCCTGTTGGAAGGGCCACTCTTGGTCGTATCATCAATGTCATTGGAGAGGCCATAGATGAGAGAGGCCCTATTGGTAAGTCTTAGCATGCTATCAGAATATTAGTAATGCTTTTAGGTTAATTACTTACTGTTTTAAGGTCTAATCGTCAATTTTCAAAAATTGCTGCAGACACTGAACACTTTTTGCCAATCCATCGAGAAGCTCCAGCATTTGTTGAACAAGCTACCGAGCAAGAAATTCTTGTAACTGGAATTAAGGTATTCTCATTGATGACTGCTTGTCTTTCTATGTTCTTACCACTACCCCTTATAGCTCTTTTATCATATCATGCACTTAGATTTAATTTTGAATCATTGGTGTTTTGTTATTTGATCAGGTGGTAGATCTTCTTGCCCCATATCAAAGGGGAGGTAAAATTGGGCTTTTTGGTGGCGCAGGAGTTGGAAAGACTGTGCTTATTATGGAGCTGATTAACAATGTTGCAAAAGCTCATGGTTAGTTATGCCTTTTTTCTCACTCTCTTTTTAAGGTCCATAGTTATGCAGGTTGTGCTTATCCACTGTTTTTTTCAACTTATCATCAGGTGGTTTCTCTGTCTTTGCTGGTGTTGGTGAGCGCACTAGGGAGGGTAATGATTTGTACAGAGAAATGGTTGAAAGTGGTGTCATAAAGCTCGGTGCTGAGCAAGTTAGTAATCTATTATTACTGTAACCTTCCATAGCTCTTCCCATGCTCCAAAATAATTTTCCTCGAATTTGTTGATATCTAATCACATCAAATGAATGTCAGAATCTGAGCAAATGTGCTCTTGTGTATGGTCAAATGAACGAGCCCCCGGGTGCTCGTGCCCGTGTTGGACTCACTGGACTGACTGTTGCCGAGCACTTTAGAGATGCTGAGGGTCAGGATGTGCTTCTTTTTATTGACAACATCTTCAGGTTTACCCAGGTTAGTTACCAAAATATCCCAGTTTTGTTAGTCTTTGTAAAGGCTATTCATCTATTTACACCTTTTATTTTTGGGCCATCCTCAAATACCATTCATTCTCTTGTTAAAAAAATGTGTTGTTTTGATTCTTTCCTATCTTAATACATACAAACATCAACCACAATTTTGTATTTAAACTCTGTTCAAAGTCACAACAACCCAGTGGGATATAGGGTTTAGGGATGGTGGGTATATGCAGATCTTACATCTCATGATAAAAGGATTGATAGGCTGTTTCAGAAAGACCATTGGCTCAAGAAAAACAAAAAAACTAGTTATACCGGTTAAGATAATGATGTGAAATAAATTGCAAAACACATGCAATATGACGAAAGAAAGAGAAAATTACAAGACATGCAAGCTCATTATAGGAACCTACTACACGTACCCTCCTTTTACACCCTTACTCACTGGGCAGTTCAATTACCTTGCTACTCTAATCCTTGACCTCCAAACTCTATCTAGCTCCTTGAAAAGCCAATTATGGTAAATTAAATAGGAACAGAGGGAGTATTTATATATTTATTTGCACTTGTTTTTCTAAATATCACAGGCCAACTCAGAGGTCTCTGCTTTGCTTGGGCGTATCCCATCTGCTGTCGGTTATCAACCAACCTTGGCAACCGATCTTGGAGGCTTGCAAGAACGTATCACGACTACTAAGAAGGGGTCCATTACATCAGTTCAAGCTATTTATGTGCCTGCTGATGACTTGACTGATCCTGCTCCTGCAACAACCTTTGCCCACTTGGATGCCACAACAGTCTTGTCTCGTCAGGTAATACAAGTTCATCTATTTTTTTTTAGCGCGATGCTAAGGGTGTGCTTGGAACATGGAAATTTCCATGAAGAGAAAATATGGAGGAAGAAAAAAATGAAAGTTTTGAAGGAAAGAAAATGAGGGGAGAACATTAAATTTGCTTCAAAGTGCAAACCAATTACAATATAGAATATTAATCAAATTTCTGACGATGATTGTGCTCCCACTGTTCTAATTGAAATTATTTGGGAACTCTAGATATCCGAGCTTGGTATTTATCCCGCCGTCGACCCCCTTGATTCCACATCTAGAATGCTTTCTCCCCACATCTTGGGAGAGGAACACTACAACACCGCTCGTGGGGTACAGAAAGTCTTGCAGAACTACAAGAATCTTCAAGATATTATTGCTATTTTGGGTATGGATGAGCTTAGTGAAGATGACAAACTGACTGTTGCACGTGCCCGTAAAATTCAAAGGTTCCTTAGCCAGCCCTTCCACGTGGCTGAGGTGTTCACTGGTGCCCCTGGAAAGTATGTTGAGCTGAAGGAGAGTGTTGCCAGTTTCCAGGTAAATTCAGCATTTTATTTTGCTTTCCGAATTTACAATAACCTGTGGTCTTTTGGCCAGTTGATATCACTCAATTTGGTCTTTTGGCCTGCAAAGTTTTCAATCATGCACTGTAGTACTATCGATTAAAACAGCATATTTTACCCTATTTGTGAAGGGCATTTTCTGTTCGTCCAATACTATATCGGTCCAAATTGTTTTACAAATCAGTCCTAAATTGGGTCTTAAAACTTTTGTACTCTTTAATAGAGTACCAGATCGAGTCTAAAATAGCAAATATGGCAAATTCCCAAGACTACCCACATTGTTATCTAGAACCAAATGTGTATATGAACCAAATATTGCAAACTGCCCAGCCGAAGACCGAAATCAGTTGCAAGTAGTGACTGACCAATTTAACCCGTAAACAGTATGCCTGCCAAATGATTTGTAAACATAACCCGGTTTGAAAGTTCTGATTGTTTATGAACAATATTTGCTTTTGACAGGGCGTGCTGGACGGGAAATACGACGACCTTTCCGAACAGTCCTTTTACATGGTGGGTGGAATCGACGAGGTCATTGCCAAGGCAGAGAAGATTGCCAAGGAATCCGCTGCCTAGAACAAGAAGAAGAAGATTAAACAATTTTTTCCCTTTTGTGTTTTTGGTTGATAATCGCGAAATAATTCTATGATGACAATGCCAAACAGACTTGGAGGATTTTTGAACCTTAATGAGGACTTGGCTGGTTTGTCGCAGTCTAAAGTTTTTTTTCCGTATTTTGTGTGGAATTGAGATAGAAATGTGTTACTTAATTTTCACATAATAATCCCCTCGCAAATTGGCTGATTTGTAACATTATCCTCATTCATACAGTGGTGGGTAAATGATTATATGCCTTCTTTCTTCTTAGGGAGTAATGTGTTTTTATTCTCTGCGCTAATACATACATAACCATCAATAACAGAGATCTCGTGCATTCGTACAAAAAAACTGATTTTTACCAATTCAACTCTGAAATTCATATTCGGGTGGAGATTTTTAATTTTAAATGCAAAATTAAAAATATACTCCCTCCGTCCCACTGTCTTTGTCCACTTTTGACTTTTGGAACTGTTCATCTAAACACTTGGACTCATCAAATTTTCTCAATGTGTAAGCCTAAATATAGTCATGTGTGATCTTGTTTGATTTGTCTTAACATATAGATTATTAATATATAATTTCTATAATTTTTTAATATACAAATTACAAGATAAAATGAATTAAAAAAGTGCATTGGATGGTGTGCCAAAAGGTAAGTGGACAAAGACAGTGGGACGGAGGGAGTATATGCTATGTTTGGTTTAAGGAATTTGAAAGGAAAAAGAAAAGAAAAAAAATGAAGTTAAAAGTACTTTTTTGTTTGGTTAGAGAGGGGAAAGAAATGAAAAGTGGAAGGAAAAAAAATTAGAAGCCAAAATGTACTAATTGGTGGTAAAACTAAATTCTTCTAATTTTGGCGAGGAAAACTATTTCGTTGAACCAACCATACTGTTAATATATCCATTGTTTTCAATTATAATTAAATATTGTCAAAAGAAATAACCAATTACAAAAAAATAAAGTAACGAGTTTTATGAGTCGAGAAATTATTATTGCATGTTTTTTTCAGATTCTCTCTAAGAATTTTGTGGCCGCTATGACTAGGGACCAAATGTGCTGGCGGGTGTTGCGCATTTGGTAAGACAAAGAATGTCAAAAGATAAGAACTGAGTTCGATTCCTGACAACTACGTTGAGAGACAACTATAAGTATATAGTCTTTGGTAGTACCAGGTGCAGACTCCGTTTTTTGTCACTAAATTGCGATCAAAATCTATTTTACCTCCTTTCGGTGACCGCCCGGCCAGGTGTGAGGGGGTTTTCGGGGATTAAACTCATGCCTTTTTAACTAGGGGACCAAATATATCAAAAGTAAAAAGAGACACACATGATTTCTTGTTTTTGGAGCTTACTACCGAGTAACAAAAATAAATAAATACAAAAAAGTTTTTTGTAATTATTTAACGACTTTGCTTGATTCCTCCTTCAAAGCTGGAGATGTACCATAGAGAGGTGGTTTTTCTATGCACCAGGGACAGATGCTGGCATAAATTATACAGATGTTAGCTTTATATTCTAAATTTAAAAGTATTTATTTACTTAATTATAAATTATACGCAGTAATTCTCGATCTTGAGATAAAACTTAACATTATTTTTGTCATTTTACATTTTCTTTCAAAAAAATCAAGACGTCCCCGGACCCACGCCTTGTTACTCTTGTCCCAAGTCTTCCCATTTTATGAATGATTCACCATATGTATTGAATGTCACATATATTAAACATATTGATATTAAAAATAACTAATAAGGAATTGATAATAAAATAAATTTTACATAAATTTGAGAGTTTGGATGTTGAAGACTCAAATCTTTTAAAATAAAACCATTATTTGTAAAATTAATCAATTGAATGCAATAAATATAAGAGTTAGAAGTTAAAGAGTCACACTAATTATAAAAAAACATTCTTTTTGAATTGGAAAGATACTCCGTATATTATTACCAAAAAAAATACTGTGTTCATTTTGCATACTCATTTTCTTAATTTTAGTCACATTTTTATTTCGTTTTTCACTATAGTTCTAAACATTTTCCACAAGTATTGGTTATTTTTGTTTTATGTGAGTATAGTATTTATTTTTGTGACCATTTCAAAATTCATGCTTTTAGTGCGGAGTATATAAAATGTACCGATCAAACTGAACTTTGAAAAACAAATAATTTCTCAAACTTTTAGGAGAGCTAAAAGAGATTGCATCTAAAAGTTCTTCGTCAAAACTAAAAGCATTTTCTGTACATTTTTTTCTTTTTCTCTTTTTGATTTTTGAAAATCTATTGGGCACCGATAAAAAGTTGTTATGAATAGATAATGAACTAAAAATTAAAAATTCATTGCTCTATATTTTTTTGGTGCTAACAGATTCAATAAAGAATTAAAAAAAAACATTTAATTTGAGACATACGAAGTACGAGTACATGTTAAAATTTTTTATTTAATTTTTTATTACACAAACATTTTTAAATTTAAAAAAAATTAAAAAATAGATTTGAAAAACAACTTACAGACATTTATGAAAAAAAGAGAGGGCAACAAAGTTATTCATGTAATGTTGGAATGTTATTTTAGTTTAGAGTAAATATTGATTCTTTTTTATTTTTAAAAAAATTAATTTTATATTGTTTTTTTACTTTCATCAAAACTAAATAAACTAAAAAAGTATAAAAAGTAAAATGAAGAAATAGAAAAGTATATGATATAAAATTTAACAGAAAAGAAAAATTAAATCATAAAGAAAATATGATGCACACCGATAAAAAAAACTGTTATGAATATATAATTAACTAAATATTAAAAATACATTGCTCTATATTATTTTCGTCCTAACAAATTCAAAAAAATTAGAAAAAAATAAAAACATTTAATTTGAGACATATGAAGTGCGAGTATATGTTAAATTTTTTTTATTTAATTTTTTATTACACACACAAACAATTGTTAATTTAAAAAAAAAATAAAAAATAGATTTGAAAAGCAACTTACAAACATTTATGAAAAAAAGAAAAGACAACCGAGTTTTCCACCTAAAGTTTATATGATATTTTAGTCTAGAGTAACATTGACGTAAGAATATCATAACCATGAGAAGCAACAATATAAGTCTTAAAATCATATAGGATAACGATGCACATTTACCAAATTAAATGAGATACTAGTGCAATTTAAAACTTAAAACATTAAGAACAAAGCAAAGCTTCCATGGCGTGAATGTCCAAGCATTGGTTGATATTCCGTTCATGAAAAAGATGTGAAATTGATATACTCCATCAAGGAGAATCAGGTATGAAACTTGAGCGAGAAAAGTGAATCGACAAAGAAGGAGATGGGGAGAGGAGCGCCAACCGGCGTAGGGGCTCGACGGTGGCGGTGATTGCGGACAGAGGAGCGGCGATGATGGAGTGGTGTGAAGTACTAAGCAAAGGAGTATAGACAATGTGTTGGGAGACATGAGGGCCTGCGTTTTTTCATCGGTCACATCCTGTCACGGCGTGACCACACCAACACAAGTGGCGTGACGGGAGGAATAAACCAAACATGCAATTTAATACTCCACAACATAATAAAAGAACTTGAACTTTTTAAAATTTCAAAGGTTCAATTTTTTTTAATAATAATTTACCTTTCCTATGATTGTTATTCTACAAAATGCATATTAAAACCTCTAAATGATGGTTTTAGTGATGTTATCTCAAATAAAACAAGCTACATTGAGCTCAGTAATATCTTTGTATTTATGAATATTTTCGGTTCTCCTCTCCCCCTACACAAACACCATAAGAACAATGATGGTGAAGAGACGTTTTATAATCTCAACACCATCATAGAGATAGGTGACGGAGTGAAGGACTCTGACATATGAACAAGTGAAACAAATTTGGAAAACAAGGGGGGACAGGGAAAGACAATCATGGGAGAAGCTAAGCTAAGATCTGCACATTGAACAAATTCCAACCTAAAATTACCATCCATTTTCCAATCTTAAAATTAACCCTAAGTTGACGAATTCCAATAATAATTTATCATTTTATAAAATTTCCAAAATAAAATATCCAACAAATCAGACACCAACAAACTATCCAATTAATCCAAATATAAACAATACTCAAAATTTCAAGAAAAAACCAAATGTTGGAATTCGATAAAGAGTAAACACAAGAAAATATAGATTCAGACATACCACAAATCTGGCAGCAACTGGTCGGAATCAGACTGCAGGGGCAACTAGAAACTGGAATGGCAATAGGCGAAATAGTGGCCCGGAGTTACGGTTGGAATGGCTGCTTCGCGGACGTGGATTTCTAGTCACAACAGGCATGAATTTGTACCTTGCATATACTCCCGAACATGATAGCTCTTGGTGATGGACCGTGGAGGAGTGGACCATTGGCGTGATGGTGATGCCGGATAGGGGTGGTAACCGTTGGGTCAATTGTGGAAAAAACGGGGCAGCGAATTGAGGGGTAGAAACATCGTGGGAATATTTAAGGAGTGGGCCAGCAGTACATAAAGGGAGTGCTAAAGGAATGATGGAAAAAGCACTAAAATGGTTAGATTTGACAAAGTTAGCCCTTATATAATTAGGGTAGATTTGTCTAGAAAAAATCCAAATGGACCAATCGTTTACTTTGTTTCTCAAGGGAATAATATTCCTCAACTCCAACACTCCTCTATTCCGCACACACCTCCTCTAACCACTCTCCCCATTACGGATACCCTAAATATGATGTTGGTCCATCAGAATCGCCACGCCATGTGATAGTGAATAGACCACCATTAGTGTTATGGAAAATCCATTTTTTAACGGTCACTTCAGTTGTGCCTAGTGCATGGGAAAAGAACCTCTCCATATGGCATACCTCCGTCCACTCCAACTTCGGTACAAATTTATGAAATGCGGGACACGCTGTTTTCTGCAACTCAGATATGTTATATGGAGTGTATAAATCCCTGAAAACCGAGCCCACGGGCACGATCAAGTTCAAGTGCGTAAGGTTGGCAAGTAACTTTTCAATTCGCTCTTGATTGCCGAAAAGCTGTCCCCAAAAACCGTTATGAGATAGATCCAACGTCAATTGCTTCAAACGACGCTCAGACAGCTCAGTAGAATCACGAAAGACTCGATGAAGGGGGTCATTTTCCACCTTGGGGAAATTTTCTGTAGCCAATGCATAAGATGCATAACTTGACCCCAAAAAAAGTTCAGTCAAGCAGGGCACGTCAAGGAGCAAAGCACGAGTATCTCCTGCCTCACCACTGAATTTGAAAGAAGCCAAATTGGGGGCAGATACTACTGTTACCCGTTCAATCAAACCATAGTCATGAATCTCCAAACGATTCAAAGCCTGGTGCAAAACGTTCAAACCCGCTAACGCACGTGAACCGGCCACGCTTAGTTCTTCTAGAAAGGGGCAGCGGCCCAAGAGTTGCTCGAGCGTTTCTCCCGAAACGCATATGAACCTCAAGCGCACAACCTTCAAACAATGGCATTGCTCAGGCAATGAGAAAGTGTAGTGCCATCGTGGTTTGCACATTGGTTTTAAGAAGTTGAGATCGAGCGTCTCAACTTGTTTGGACATAACAACATCGATCCAGCGATCAATGTTGGACGCTATGCTCGGGTCGTTGAGGACATAAATGACCTTAAACTCCTTCAAGTATGGGTATTTCAACTCCTCCAAAAGTAGGCGATCCATGATACGAACAAATTTTGACCTCCAAGAGGGAATCTGATCCTCACCCAGGGACATCTCAGAAGGCAATTCCATGTCAATGCTTAAAGATCCTGAAAAATAGTTTGACCATAATGCCATCCACCCTTTGCACACCACACTTGTTCTCGCCTGTTCTTTCAGCGGCAGAAATTGCAAAATCATCCCAATTACCTCTTTCGGCAATTTGTTAATCTCATCATTTATTTTATCTTTCCCACTTCTGATCTCCATTATTTAGCCTAATACATGAAGAAAAAAAATTAAACAGAACTCGTGAACTATTAATACTCCGTAGATCACGATGATTTTTCCGATGAATTAAATGATGCAACTAGGAGTTTTAATTGCGTAAAATATGAAATGCAACATCCTTTCAAATTACTACTGGAAATCGAGATTCGTAAACGGTAAGACATTACATGATCGCTGAAGTAATTGCATTTAAAAATAATTAACGACATCTTGATTAACATACATCGAGTATCGGAGTACGGTAGGCGGCGGTGGCGATGGGGGAGGAAGCTGCCGCTGCTGGCGGTTGACGACGGAGGAGGCGTGCGGAAGAGATGGCGGTGTGTAATGATATCACATCACTGTTATGTAGGGGAGCCCAGAGACTAAATAATCCGGACTAAAACTCTAAGGCCCATTGAACTCACTGGCCCATTCTCATTTGTTTCAGTTTGTATGGAGTACTAAAAACCCTTTCAAGCCCATATGATAAAACTGCGCCCGTTGTCCATCTTGTGGTTTTTATCTCTCTTATGCGTAGAGATTATAGAGAGAGAGTTTTTGGGCCTGTTTGAGGATAGCGTTAGAGATTAGCGTTAGCATTTTGAAAAGGTTATCTATAGTCAGCGTTTAGCGTTAGTATTTTCAAAGTAATCTGAACCGTTAAAATTTTATCCAAAATGTTAACGCTAATCTCTAACGCTATTCCCAAACAGGCTCTTTGTTGAGAACATAGTAATTGTTAAATCGGTGTGTTGATTATACTACAATTAATATTATAGTGAAAAGTTTAATCCGAACAGATCATAGTTTTTCCCTAGTTAAAAGGGAGTTTCACGTAAAAAATATTGTGTTGCTTTTTTATTTGCACATTATTTTTCTCCTATTAGGACACTATTATGTCTTAAAAAGCTATAAAAAGGCGTCCTTAAAATCCTAATAAGACACCTAAAATGTAGCTTCATATTTCGTAACTCACGTCCTCTTGGTCGTAGAATGCAGACATTATGTTATGGCAAATATAATAGAAGCGTCAATATCATCATTCTAATTTTCATTTCAATCAACAAAGACAATACAAGACTACCAACTTTACAAAGTAAACTACCATGCTGATTTTTTTATAGACAAAACTGCCGTGCTAATTTAATTTAGGGTCCGTTTGGTATACGGAATTGACGGAATTGAAATTGAATTGGAATTGAAATTTCATGGGATTTAATTCCATAGAATTGAATTCTACCAATTCCAATTCATTTTTTACACAATCAAGTCCAAATCCACATAATTTTTGTGCTATCAAACACTAGAATTGAAATTGAAATCCTCAATTCCAATTTCATAGTTTGAATTCCGTGTACCAAACGGAACCTTAAAGTTTTTACACAATAAACAAATCCAAGAGATATCGCTACATGAGATAAAAAATGTTGATTGTGATGTCACAAAGCTTGACTGGATGGGGCTCTTGGACTCCTAAACTCCATTGTTAAGCATCCCCACTAGAGACACTTCAAATGTACAATACCACAAGGAAGCCTGGACTTCAAAACTGCCAACTGGTATCCCAGCTTGTCGACGTAATCAAAGAGCAACTCCGCATAAGAAAGTTCATTTGAGATGTGCAATAACCAAGAAAAAAATAAGCTTTATGCCATACCACAATGTTTTCTTTGCATTTTGCAGAAGGTTTTCTTCATCAATTACTTGAAAGAAAATGCCAAACAAAAGTTAAATCTCTAAATTTGACATGAAAAGGAATTTGAAACTGACAAGAATGTGCTGTCTTACTTTCCATGTTCATCAGTTACATAAGGCAAATATTGACAGTTAATGTTCTCATGTGCTTCTTGCTGACTACACCAGTAAACAAATGTTGCTCAACTGTTAACCTGCAAATCACAATTTGAAAGAAGTATCAACTAATTTTAGCTCACCAATTACAATAATCAATATTTAGAGATAAGAGCTGCAAAAAAAACCAGTCCTACTCCAGTACTCCTCCAAGATCAAACCTTGTTATTGTTAAGAAACGGTGGAGCTTTCCTGTGTCGAAGAATTGAGACCTTTTCGTTTTGCAATCACCATTGTCAATCCTTCCTTGACGTGAACCCTAGATCACTCCTCTCCCAATACTTTAATGTACAGAGTATGGAGTATAATTTTATTAGGCATATAGGTGTCCTTCAAACTTTCCCAAATTCATATAAAATTACTTTTAAATAGTGTCTTAAGTACTAGTAATTTTTTGATTGAACATAACAACACAAAAAGCGAATTTCATAGTTTCATAGAACTCACAATAATAAATAAGTAAAAATGTTTTGATTGAACATAACAACACAAAAATCACACATAATATTGGATTTCGAGCAGAATCAAATCAACCATTCAATACAATCAAAAGCCAATTTCAGATCTGTTCAAGCACTAAAATATAAGCAATAGTACTAAAATAATCAATAAACACAAAATCTAACCTAAGCAAGGAAGACGCAAAAAAAGAACAACTTCGATATGAAGATTATACCAACAAACAATGCTTGATTGTTCGGAATCTGACATATGTCGTCGCTCATTCAACGAAAATAGGGCTGAGAGAACGGTTTCGGAACCCTAGCCCCTGCGTCGACACTCCCTCTTAGCTGGCATTTTTGATGCGTGAATAGTAGCTGATAAGTCTCACCAAAATGTGCTTGTGGACTTTGAATCTTAAAATTACTCCGTAAAACACAACAATGTCATAAAAACTCTTTAATGACACTTTTAAAATAATGTGTCTTTATTTTATATCCAATTTTTCTTGTAGTCAGACTAACCCATGATCATCATCCAACCAATCATCTCAGAGAAAAAGAAACGAAGAAGGAAGGTGCCGCCGATAACAAGCAAGATTCCACCCCCAATCATCTCGAATCCCCTCCCGCAATATCGGTCGCTGATTCCTCTGCAATATTGGCCGCCCCCGAAGATAAACTTCTCAACTCCTCTCCAGCAATGGCCTTCGACGATTCCTCTACAACTGTGTCCACCACCAAACTTCTTGCTTCTTCCGCACTATTGGTTGCCCCCGACGCCACTGCACTTCTCGTTTCTTCTGTAACTGTGGCCGGTGCCGATGATCTCGAACCCCCTGGAATATTGGTCACCCTGACGCTGGCACTCCTTCAAGATCAACAAGGCAGACATCAACCCCAAGGAGATTTCCTCTCCACCAATGAGTAGGAAGCCAGTCAAAGAAGATTTCTTCATCCGCCGCCAAGGCATCATCATCGTCTAGTGTTCCAGATATTACCACAAGGTGTGTGTGTGTATACACACACACATTCATTTTTCTAAAACTTAAAAGAATAAATTATATTTATATCATGGAATAGTGGTTTTATAAAAATGCTTGCAACTAGGGGGTGAGTGCAGTGATGATACGTGGAAAACGATGTTGTGTAGAAACTTCAGCGTTGTGGACCAGCCGGCATAGGGCCTTCTAGATGTTCTCAAGTTGGTGCAACAACCCTCTTCCTCCCCATTCGCCAACGACGTTGCGGCTGCTGCCGTTGAGTTGGAGCCCATGGTAGACATTCTTGCCTTTGAGTTGGAAACCAAGAAAAAGTTATTTTATGGTGATGCTGCCGGAGACTACAACAGATCACCTCTCAACGTAAGTGCAAGTCTCATCATTTTGTCGTCGCCATCTGTGGCCCAATTGGACTCCCCACTTTGCGAAGTGATCCTGGTGCTTGTGTCCCAGCTTTCCAAATGGTGCCTTCTCAATGCCTCGGATGTGGGCGTTCGTGTGGGCCAGATGCTCGAGCCAGCCGGGCCTGCCAGCTAAGCTCTTCTTTTCCATTTCATCATCTTTGGCGACAAGCAAAGGGTCAAAGACGATGAGCAGGAGGCGTCGGCGATCATCAAGAAGAAAACATGTGCACAAATGCTGCTCATGCTCACAGGAATTCTCCTGGGTGTTGGTAAGTATTGCACCCAGGGGAAGTCCGGTGAGCATGGGCAACATTTGTGCATCGGTTTGCTTCTTGATGATCGCCGCCTCCTCCTCGTCGTCTTTGACTGCCTGATTGCAGGCGAAGATGAAGTTGAAGAGTAGAGCTTGGCCAGCAGGCCCGACCGGCTCGAGAATATGGCCCACACGGGCACCCACATATGAGACATTGAGAAGGCATCATTTTGAAAGCTTAGACACAAGTTCCAGAGTGGCTTCACAAAGTGGGAAGTCCAATAGGGCCACGGATGACAAAATGATGAGACTTGCACTCACGTTGAGAGGTGGTCCGCAGTAGTCTCCGGTGGCATCACCATAAAATAACTTTTTCTTTGATTCTAACTCAAGGGGGAGAATTTCTACCATGGACTCCAACTCAAGAGCAGCAGCCGCAGCACCGATGGCGAATGGGGAGGAAGAGGGCAGCAACACCAACTTGAGAAAAACATCTAGAAAGCCCCACACCGGCTGGTCCACCACGCTGAAGTTTCTACACAACATCGTTTTCCACGTATCATCATTGCACTCACCCCCTGATTGCAAGCATTTTTTTAAAACCACTATTTCATGATATAAATATTTTTCATTCATTTAAGTTTCTGAAAAATGTATGTATGAATGTGTGTGTGTACACACACACACCTTGTGGTAATATCTGGAACACTTGACAATGATGACGCCTCAGCGGCAAACGAGGAAATCTTTTTTGACTGGCTTCCCACTCATGGGTGGAGAGAAAATTTCCTTGGGGTTGATATCAGCCTCGTTCATCTTGAAGGAGTGCTAGCGTCAGGGTGACCAATATTCCAAGGGGTTCGAGATCATCAGCGCCGGCCACAGTTACAAAAGAAATGTGAAGTGCAGTGGCGTCGGGGGCAGCCAATAGTGCAGAAGAAGCAAGAAGTTTAGCGCTGGACACAATTGTAGAGAAATCATCGACGGCCATTGTTGGAGAGGAGTCGAGAAGTTCATCATCGGCTTCGGCGGCAACCAATATTGCAGAGGAATCAACGGCAGTGGTTGATATTGAGGGAGGGGATTCGAGATGATTGGGGGGCGGAATCTTGCTTGTTATCGGTGGCACCTTCCTTCTTTGTTTCTTTTTCTCTGAGATGAATTTAAGATGATTGATTGGATGATGATGGCTTGCTTGGGTTCATATGCCCCCAAAATCTCTTACATGGGTTAGTGTGACTGCAAGAAAAATTGGATATAAGGATACTAATTTAGGACACATTATTTTGAAAGTGTCATTAAAGGATTTTTATGACATTGTTGTGTTTTACGGAGTAAATTTAAGATTCAAAATCCACAAGCCCATTTGACGAGACTTATCTGATGCTAACTACTATTTATTCATCAAAATAGATCAAAAATGAGACCTACGTTTTTTCATTCATTCTTTGACAAAACAGTAATCGAGAGACAAGAGTTGCTAAGAGGGAGTGTCGACGCAGGGGCTAGGGTTTCAAACCCATTCTCTTAGTCCTATTTTTATTGGATGAGCGACAACATACGTTAGCGAGCATAGACGAGGAGAGCAATGACTAGTTAAGAACTAAGTTCTAAACATCAGCGAGATGTAACTATTGACTGG